TGGAATTCGTATTTAATTCGGAATCGTATTGTCGATCAAATTTCCTTTTATGGTAATACGACCACATGTATGATAAAAATGATACAATGTATAAAACAGGGACAGAAAGAATTAGAAGAGAAACTGAAAATAGATATAGAAATGGATTAGCACTAATAGAAACACAAGTACAAGAAAATAAAATAAAACACATAGCAAAAGCAGGTCCAATTAATTCACCAAAATATTGTGAAAGGACAAAAAGAGTAATAGATGTAATGGTAACCAAATGGAATGAATTAGCAAATACATTTTGAAATAATTTGAGAAAGGAGTTTAAATCAAAAACATTAGAACCATTTCAATTTTACTACAAACGAGAGACAACAGAACAATAAGCAGATAAACCAATAGGATTTTATGAATTAATAAGGAAAACTTGAACACTATCTACACATAATACAGAAGTATACAATAAATTGATGGAAATGAAATATGATCAGAAAGATATGAAAGCCTATCAAACTTTAATATTGCATTTGATAAAGTAATAAGGGATATATAAATAGGAAATACCTATAATTTGATATTAAAGAAAAGATATATTACAGCACTAAGTAATTTTCCAATGTTGACATTTGCAATTCATACATATATTGCAACAAGAGAAACAGTAGGGAAAGCAGTTAGTTTAGCAGACATAATAACATATGCATCATAATAATTTATGGGAGAAGATATGAGACAAGAATATAGGAATACATATAGAATATATGAGAAACCCTATAGAAAATGATATTTAAAAGGAAAGGAATTAAGAAGAAATAGATTTGGAATATATAATATAGGAACATCAAATAATAACAAACAAATTAATAAGTTACGTACAAGAACAGCCACTCTTTCCCACACGCATAAAATTACTATATTTGGTAATTTGTCTAAAGAAAGAGGAAAATGAGTTCACAAAGAACACTCAGAGATTTAGGCACCTCCTCCAGACCCAACTACAATGTCAACGATTTCAGCAAAGGCAGGGTCAGCCGGAAGAGCAAAGAAACAACCCCTTATACATGTGAAAGGGAAATTGCATGGTCACATGAGTCTATGCAATGATGATCCAAAAATGACAAATCTGAGAAAAATGAAATATCTGTAATATATTTCTTTTATTTAATTTCTTTGATTTCTTTAATTTATTTAAGATATTTAATATAGTTGAGAAATTAGATATATTAGCGATAGTTTAGATAGTTGAGATAGTTAATATATTTGATATAATTTTTTGTAATTAGCATATATATAAGGAGAGCGAAAATGTCTAAATAAACAGAAATAATAATTGCTAAATAATAATTGTTCAAATAAACTATTTTGCAAATGTGTTGATATTTGAAGGTGAAACTGCAACCATAAAGGAATTTGGAAGAGTTTCAGAGTAGTTGAGAGTGTGAATGCCTATTGCTACAACAGGAACTTAGGTATAATTTGAGTAGACGAATGTGCATGCTAACGGATGAAATTGAGTTTATTTTTTAGTGAAAGAGAAGGATACTCGGATCAAATTATTACACCTCAGCCTTAACAAATTTAATTATTAGAGAGGACTTTGAAAGACCCTCACATACAGTACAAAAACCAGCAAAGAAACAATAACAGAAAAATGCCGAAACAGAAGCAACCAGCAGCAGTATAGTTAAAACAACAGTCCCAGAGACAACCGATTCATCCTCAATAATCCAGAACCCCAAGGAAACGACTCAAGAACCTAGAGATAAAGAGCTATGGAGTGACGAGGTAGAAAGAGTAGTAATAAAAACATCCATGAAAAGGCAACAAATACAACAAGAAACCAGAGAGTACGTCAGAATCGATGACTCAGATGCGGAGATGGAAGAAACAGAAGCAGAAAACAACAACTGGAAGATATCGACAGCAAACGAAGAATGGTCAACATACAATAAAGGCAAAGGCAAACAACCAACTCACCAGTGGAGCAAACCCAGACCACACTCTCCCTTTGACAGAAGCAGCAGATATGGTAGATAAAGAAGCAAAGTCGGCATCAATGCTACCATAATCCCCAGGAAGAACACAAACCAGAAAATCCAATATCTCACCAAGGCACTCAAATGCCCAGAAGGGCTTCTTGCAATCCGCAGTGAAGGAAAGAACGACCAAGAGCAGATCATAGCCATTTTTGGTGATCGCCAAGCAGCAAAACACGCATGCACTATCAAACTTCCAGATTTGGAAGACAAGCACTTGTAACACATGCCGATGATCGATCCAAACACCAAAAAAGAAAACAGTATCAGAGTATGGAACATTTCCCTGGACGCCAAATATATAGAGGTACAACAAGCATTTGTCAAATATGGACAAATCACAGGAATAGCCATGAGCACACAACAAATGTGGCAAACAGCAACAATCACCTATATGGACAAGACCAGCAAAGATCGGGTAACAGACATGTGGAGTGTTCCATTCAAAGCAGATATGGTCTGGGTCTTTGATACACAATGGGACCTGTCACAAATAAAACAAAGGGAACAGATGGCAGCAAAGCTTACAGATCTCCCACCCAATACAACAGCATTTGATCTACGTAACATACTACAGAAGAAGATCTTTAGAAAGCCACAGCAGAAACATATTCAATCGGTAAAACACTCCTAAAATGAATACAGATAGACACCAAACTATATGCAATCTGCGACAACAACACACATCTTGCAGCCACGTGTCCTATCAAAGAGAGAAGGAATCATTGGCAAACATACAATCAAGAACAAGCAACAAAATTCAGACGACTATATGAAAAAATATAGATTAGCCAAAATAAACGAAATCAGAAAACATATTCCAATGCAACAACAATATAGGAGAGCAAAACCTGGTTCATATGCTATGGCAGTCAAAACATCAATGAATACACAGAACGACGAAATTGCATCCACCAACCTACAAGAAATTTTCAATATCCTCAAGAAACTACAACAAGACATAACAGAAGTAAAACAACAAATGATCGAAATAGACGAGAGAATTACAAACTTGGAATATTATGATAAGGATGGAGTAGAAGCCATGGAAGAAACAGAATTCATCTCAGATTCTCAAGAAAACAGTACTCCCCTAGAAAACAATCAAGAAAACGGATCTGCAAATAGTGACAAAATCCAAGACCTGCAGGCAAGACAAAAACAGATTTATACAACCATCAAAAACACGAATCAAACAATGAACAACCTAATGGATGCCATCCACAATCTAATTCCTGGAGACACAAACATCCTAACCAATCATTATTAATGGGAAACAACCAAAGCACAAATGTCAGTGCGCAAGACATCACAGACAACTTATCAAATCTCTACAACTCACTAGACAAGTATCCAGAGGAAGACACATACTCAAATGAAGATACACACACACCAATATTATATACTGACAACAACAACCACAACACCACAATAGAAATCGAAGCATATACACAACAACCTCAATCAATTAACAAAGAAGCACAACAATAAACACTACACCAACCATACGTACAACAACAAATTACACCATATCTAAATACTCAAAGCAATATAATACTACTTCCTCCAACAGAAGGAAAGACATGGGAGGCATGGAGAATAGCAACACATAATGTAAGGAGATTTAACAATACAACCAAAAGAGCAACCTGGTTGACATACTGTATAGAGGAAAACATTGACATCGGAATAATCACGGAGACACAAATTACCACAGAAGAATCCAAACACTGGAAAATACAAGGGTATCACACCACTTGGTGCAACGAATGCAAAGGAGGTGGCATAATGATATTGATCAGGAACAACATCGCAAATAACATAACCAACATCACAACATATTCAGGCAGAAGCATCTGCATCAACCTAAGCTTTAAAGGAAACAAACATATCAGCATTATTGGTGTATACATGCCCAGAAAGGGCAACCCAGAACACTTCCAAGTAGGTAAATGGGTGTAAGACAAGATATGGAATAGGCACAACAAAAACTGACACATCATAACAGCAGGAGACTTCAATGTCTTACACAATCCAAAAAAAGACAAGAAACCACCAGGCAACAACTCAAAACCAACATCACATACACTACAAACACTTATCCAACTCAATCACATAGATACCTTCAGAGAAACATGGCCGGATTATACATGTGGTAGAAATTGATAGATCCTTGATACAATTGACGCAATTATTTGACGCAATTAATTGAGTCACTATTAAAACATATAAAATAATTGAGTCAGACACAATTAT